AGAGTTCATTCCATCGCTCGCTCGTAACTGCAAGCTCAAAGCTCATTCTCGAATGCATGAATAAGGTGTTTGCAAAAAAATCCGCATCACATAGGTCACTTTAAGTCATGACACATCTGGTTATATGGTGTGTGCAAAAATAACCCGCATCACATTGGTCACTTTAAGTCATGACACATCTCGTTATGTGGTGTGTGCAAAAATAATCCGCATCACATTGGTCACTTAACGTCGCGACACACCTGGTTACATGGTATGTCAAAAATAATCCGCATCACCTTGGTCACGTTAAGTCATGACACATCTGGTTATATGGTATGTCAAAAATAATCTGCATCACATTGGTCACTTTAAGTCGTGACACATCTGGTTAAATGGCATGTCAAACGTATTCTGGCGAGCTCAAACAAGCCCACGGGACTGGCAGTAGATAGCTTCCTTTCCATCCATGCATCGTGCATATATTTTGGAGTCACCAGCGAACAAAGCATGGTATTGCATCGCTCTTAGAATCGCTGCACATCGTATGTGCGATGCTTATGCACCAGACTTGTCCTTGCTTCCAGGAGAAGCGGATCCAATTCCGAAATCGATTCCGTTTTGGACTGTATCCGGTCCGTATTCGGCTTCACTGGTTGGTTGGCTGCAACAGGATTCGAAATCGATTCACTTAGTTCGCGACAGAACCAGAACTGATTGGAATCCTCTTTGCCCGCCTCACAAAATGATTCAAACTCAATATGGGGCTCTTTGCATGGTCGGTTCATCACCGCACAAGGTTGGCTGCTCGAAAAAAAAAATTATCCAAAAAACTTGTGCACTAATCGCTGAGTAGACGGTGATGCTGAGGCTGCGTTGGGAGGTTAGAATTTCAAGACCCCAAAAAAGACCTCAAAATCCCACTGTTTTGAAGAAAATCAAGTGTGTGTCCCTACCCGGGACTGTTTTGTGTTTTCAAGTCATAATAAAATGGCACCATTCACGCATCGCAATATTCAATTTGAACTCAGCGCAAATATAGCGATGTTTGTGTTGCCTAATGCAGATGAATCGTAATAGCCCTGTGGTCTTCCACACACTGCAATAGCTTGAGCATAAGTGATAACCACCGAAGTATGTGCATGTACACCCAAACACACACTCGCAATAGGCATATCGGCAGACACAGAATATTCATACAGTCGTTTATTCCATGTCTGCCCTGCTTTAAAAACAAGACTTGATTCAGAGTAGGAGCCAATATCGGCAAAGCCCAGTGCTACAGTCAGATTCGAATCGGAATGCAATTTTCAACAGTCCATTCGAATCATATTCCGATTTGGTTCCACTCCCTTTAGCACAGATTTAAAGTCGACTCTTCCGTCATGGAAATAAATCAAAAGTCCATCCGCATGGCTTCCAACGATCACCCAGTACATGTTGCTGTGTGCAGACACATAGCCCTCACATCTGCATATACAAACACGGGCTGTATGCTGAGAGGGAGTATATCTACGCTTGCTGTACACGTCAAAAGATGAGGTGCGAAAAGGCGTTCAACGTGCTGCACAGGCGGGGCAACTGTCACATAACGACGCGGGAGAACGCGAAATGCACCGTACTAAGCATAACGTACGCATAAGAAACTAACAAATGACGTAGGAAAGTGACGTCACAAAGAGCAGTCTCGTCACCTTGTTATTCTCCACCCTCAAAACTGTACAAAGTGCAGCACCAGCGCCACAATGTCCTCGCCTGCACTGACCACGCACCGCTTAGTTATTCGTTCCCACACAGTGTCTCGACACTGCGGACTCGGACCGGCCTGGAGGCGTCAAACGACACCGACCTGGCGTCAAATGGCACCAGCCTGCGGCGTCAAACGACACCCGCCGGGCGTCCAACGAAACCGGCCGGTGCGTTGACCCCTGTTGGCGGGTCATACAGGTCAGGTCAGGTCAGGTCAGGTCAGGTCCGGTCCGCCCCCCCCCCCCCCCCTAGGCTCCGGCCCAGCCGCCGGTGTCCTCTGCCTGGGACGGCCGGCTGCCGGACTCACAGACACCGCCGCCCAACTGTGCTATCACCTGTCATCAGTTGCTCAGAGGCCGCCCACACCGGGTGACGTCACCCACCTTGTCAGTCACAGCTCCTTGGGCATGAACGCTGGACCACATGTGTCGGTATGCTGGACAAACGGCGGCCCTGGCCTTCTGGCACCTCCACCGTTCAGAAACAGGATTGGTCTATTCCACACGATAGAATAGAACTCCCCTGCACTGTGGCACCCAGACGCCAAAAGGGTTGAGCAGGCAGCAACCGCCAGTAATCCACAGCGAACTGAGAGTCAGGCAGCGATACTGAACTCGCCACTGAAGTAGCCACGGTGGCGCGTGGGCACTCGGTGCGTGAGCCCCACCGCGCCGTCCGCCCTCGACCACTCCATGGCCGCTTCCCGCGCGTTACTCTCTTGCTTCCCATGAAGTGGCCACGGTGGCGCGTGGGCACTCCGAGTGTGAGCCCCACCGCGCCGTCCGCCCTCGACCACCCACATGGTCGCTTCCCGCGCGTTACTCTCCTGCTTCCCATGAGCGGCTGGCGCCGTAGCAACACCTTTGCCATTCCAGCGCCGGCTTTGCGGTGAATTGAAGATTGTGTCACCAACTTCTCCCGTCTCCCTCCGCCCAGGGTCTAACCATGCATGCCTTGTGTACACGTTCATGCATTATGCATGCATGCATTCTGCATACTCGATGGTTCGCGTTGTGCTTGGACAACGAGGCGATCAACAAGTCGCACGCGACACCGCCAGACAGATTCATTACATGACAGATTCAGATTCATCCGCCGACAGATTCATCCGTGCGATCAACGAATAAGGGTTCCGGTTTGAAACACTGCACCTCGAGCCTCATGTCTCCTCCCCCTTCGGTCCTGCCAGCCTTTTTGTTTGAGCCGACAGCATCTACTGGTAGTCTCGCGAAGCACCGCGTCTCCGTAACGCTTCGACTACAGCCCATGCGCACGAGAACCGCCGGCGACGCCAAGTGTTCTCATCGCCCCCGTGTCCAGACAGCTGCCGGCAGCGCACCCAGTGTCCTCATCGCTACCATGACAGCCGCTGGCGACGCGCCCAGTGTCCTCATCGCCGCCGTGTCCAGACAGCCGCCGACGACGCGCCCAGTGTCCTCATCGCCGCCGTGTCCAGACAGCCGCCGACGACGCGCCCAGTGTCCTCATCGCCGCCGTGTCCAGACAGCCGCCGACGACGCGCCCAGTGTCCTCATCACCTCCGTGTCCAGACAGCCGCCGGCGGCGCGCCCAGCGTCACCCATCGCCGCCGTGTCCAGACAGCCGCCGCCTGCACCCCGGCTGCCTGCGGGCGGAGCGGCGCGCGCTGTGTGTCGCTCTCCCCATGGTGCGCGCTCTCGCTGAAAAACACGTGGCGACAGCGGACCAATCTGTCCGCGCGACACCGGCCACCCGGTTCAATCGCGGCATTTGTTCTGCGCCCTGCCATGTGCGTGTAAATAAAGCTGTGCTGTCGTGGCACGGCGTCGGCAGTCCACCGCTAAAACTGGTCATTGCCAGGGATAAATACCTTCGGTCAAGTGACAAACAGGAGCGCCGTGATGCCAAGGTTTACGTCGGGCATGCCCAGTCTAAGCGGTGTTCGTCCCTATTGTGTAAGGTAAAGGGCAACGTATTCTGTCATGCATCAAACGCGCCGCAATCCACAGGGGCGGCCAAGCTTGAAAGGGCATCGCAGCAATCGTACATAGCGGCTTCTGCTAAGACGGCCAAGTAAAATCCGGTACCGTTTCTGCCTCGTAAGGAACTACTATGTAATCAGATACTCATGTATTTATCCATATAACGAGTTTCCGCCCAGGCCTGCGGAACAGGCCAGTATCTTCGGGCCTTCCCTCTCAAGAGCATTTAAAACCACACGTTTTCGACTTGTAATTCGCGGTTTGCGGTCTACCGTGCTTAGCCCTGCATCGTGTTCTTTAGTGTTAACATAGCCCCATTGAGCTCACCGCTGTGGCCAGGGCCCCGTGGCCAAATTCCCGGTGATAGGCCGTTCGACCCCGCCCACACCGCTGCTGGCAACTGGCACCGGCAGCGCACGGCCGGGCCGGGCCGGGTCATCCTGTCCTGTCCTGTCCTGTCCTGTCCTGTCCTATCCTGTCCTGTCCTGTCCTGTCCTGTCCTGTCCTGTCCTGTCCTGTCCTGTCCTGTCCTGTTCTGTCCTCTCCTGTCCTGTCCTGCCCTGTCCTGTCCTGTCCTGTGCTGTCCTGTCCTGTCCTGTCCTGTCCTGCCCTGGCTGCACTCTGCCTGTGCTCTGACTGTACTCTGACTGTGCCCTGACTGTGCTCTGACTGTGTTCTGACTGTGTTCTGGGTGCTCTGACTGCACCCCGACTATGCTCTGACTGGGCTCTGACTGTCCTATGGCGGCCGACCGGAGTCCCAGCCGCGGCCCGAGGCGGCGTCACGACCGGTGGAACACCGCGCAGTGCGGAGACGCCACGCGCGCCGCGGCTCGCTCTCTTTCGCGACACGCGCGGCCGCCTCGGTGCCCCCCTCTCCCCCGAGGCGCTGAACGGGCAGAACTGCCACTACTACTCGCATTCATGTGGCGGCACAGCTGGCAGTGTCTGTATCGATATGTGACGGACGCCGGTGGACTGAGCAGCCCAACCCGTTCTTTCTGCTCTGTGATGCACGCTTTGCGTGGTTTGCGGCACGCGCCGAGCGCCGGGGCGGTGCCGGCCCGGCTCGCGAGGCCGGGACCCGAACGGCCGCGCTTCGGGCCGCTGCCGCCGCCGCCGCCGCCGACCTCGGGGTGTGGCCGTCGCGGCCCGGCGACGACAGCGCCATCTGCGCCACTGGCGGCGCCACCGGCGCGGCGGACCTGCGGCCGCGAGCGCAGCACGGCAGACGAAGAGAGGAGGACGACAGAGAGCAAGAGTCAGAGAGAGAGATAGAGCGAAGAGAGAGCCAAGAGGGCGCGGTACTCACGTTTGGCAGGCAAGGGCGAGGCTCATGATGGGCAGCGCCTGCAGGACGCCGGACGGCCGCCAGAGCACCACCTCCGCTTGCCAGGCGCCACTGATGATGTGACGCCACGAGTCCGACACGATCTGGGCGCAGGTCAGAGGTCAGGGTTCAGGCCAGGGGTCATGTCAGGGGTCAGGTCAGGGGTCAGATCAGGGGTCAGATCAGGGTCAGGCCAGGGTCAGGCCAGGGATCAGGCCAGGGTCAGGCCAGAGTCAGGCCAGGGGTCAGGTCAGGGATCAGGGATCAGATTGGGGATTAGATCAGTGATCACATCGAGGGCCACGTCAGGGATCAGATCAGGGATCAGGTCAGGGGCCAAGTCATCCCCTACCAGGCACCGCGCGACAGCGACATGATCCGTGCGGACAGGGACCAAAGACTATGTCAGAGAAGAAACACCACGTTGTTATGAAATGACGATATCCACAGAAAGTTTCGATGTAACCAGAAAGCAACACGGATATGGGAGAAAATTACTCACGTGACTTGATTACAATGACCTTGATAATTTTCATGCTCTTTCTCAAATGTGCGTACACAAAATGTGACGCCGCCTCTAATGCATGGTGGCATATCGTTAACAATAAAGCACCGCCAGACATCATACCAACGCCATGATCTGAACCACCTGACTCAACAAAAATACAGCACGCAAAACGCCACAGCGCTCCACTTGAGTGATTTATGCAATAGGTAAAGCCAAGCGACACCTGGTGACCGACCTTTAATACCAGGAGTACGTAAAATGTGATGGAGATGGCGCTGATGCTGGCCAAGCTGTCCGTATTCCTTAGCAGACTGAGCGGCAGAACTATCAAGAAGCACAGCCCTGCAAAACGGGCGAGTGGACGGCGATCAGAACTGCGTGCGCTGCGCGACAGTCACGACACCGATCACATCTCAAAAACGGGGACGACAATGACGCAGCATCAAACTGTACTGCGCTCCCGCTCCCAGTCACTTCCATCACCAGAAATGACAAATGGCGTAGGTCCAAACACACTGCCACTCAAAGCGAAGCAGACTGCGCTGAATGCAGTTTCACGGTTCAGAATAAACCGAAACTTAAACGCAGCCTGACGGATTTCGGTGTCCGGACATCGAGCAGAAACAGCACGAACCGTTCAATTATCCAGATCGAGTTATCCGCCATCCACCATTATCCGCCATCACCTCTGCGCCACAGCTTACCGCAGAGAAAGACGGCCCTGAAGCGGCTCGTGTACTCGATGTCTAGGATTTGAGCCAGAATCTTGGGCCCCAAGTCGCCGGCGATGACGAAGAAGGAGACGCAGATGCCGAACAGAAATCCGATCTGGATCACCTCGATCGCAAACTTGCCCATCGGGCCGAAAATGTGGAACGCTGCGAAAACGACGCACTGGGTTACAACTGACGGTGAGTCACCACCGACAGCAGAATGTTTCCATCGAAACGTACGGTCTTTGTTTTGCGTTTCCAGTTGCCTCACGTTCACGCACTGGTGTGGTTACTACCGCGAACATCGCACTGCGTGACGTCTGTGGAACAACGGCATGACATGCGAGGGAAGCGACATGGCGCGGGACTGAAGGATTCATCGGCAGGCTTGGGGGCTTATCACCGTCAAAACGCACTGGCCGCCATAGGCAGCTACCAGCGGGCACCCGCTGGGCTCGACGCGCCGGACAACATGGACAACGATGAAAGGCACCATGATGGAAAATGATGAAAGGCACCATGATGGACAGTGATGAAAGGCACCATGATGGGCAATGATGAAAGGCACCATGATGGACAGTGATGAAAGGCACCATGATGAGCAATGATGAAAGGCACCATAATGGATAATGATGAAAGGCACCATGATGGACAGCGATGAAAGGCACCATGATGGACAATGAAAGGCACCATATGACATGATGAAAGGCACCATGATGGACAATGATGAAAGGCAACATGATGGACAATGATGAAAGGCAACATGATGGACAATGATGAAAGGCAACATGATGGACAATGATGAAAGGCAATATGATGGACAATGATGAAAGGCAACATGATGGACAATGATGAAAGGCAACATGATGGACAATGATGAAAGGCACCATGATGGACAATGATGAAAGGCACCATGACGGACAACGGTGAAAGGCACCACCGCACCGCAGCCGCAAGCACCTAAGAACTCGTAGCTGCGCCGCTTGGTGCTGATGGCTGACTTGATGAGGAAGTGGCAGTTGAGCCTGTTGATGTAGCCACTCAGGATCAGCAGCAGTATGCCCAGAACCAACCCGCACTGCCAAATACAGAGAACCTCGATTACGGGGACAGTCCAACTCTGCGCACCGTCGCATCACCCTCGTGCTTCACTTGAGGTACAGCTTTTGTTATGATAAAGCATCTTGTGACGCAGTGCTAAGATTTCTCATCGCAACATTGCATTCATCCTGCGCAGCATGTTAAGCCTCATTGAGAATTTTCCTGAATATCCTGTAGATAATAGCTAATCCCAGATTCTCACTAGATGTTAAAGACCATTGAATGTCTTGTCCTTTGAGAATTTCCCCACGCGCGTCTGAGAGAAATGCACACTGCTGACGACAGGTGACAGGCTGAGCATGCAATGGCCACAGTAACAAGTGCTGAGGGGCCTACGAGACGCGTTACCTGCTTGAAGCAGTATGGCATGGCCAGAATGGACACGCCGATGATGGAGTTGCCCAGCGTCAGGATCTGCTTCATGTTCCCCTCTGACATGGTGGCAAGGTAGTGGTGGACAAGTTCTAGCTTTGGTCAGCTCCTGCTATATGTGATCTGTAGAGCTGACTGGTGAATTGCACCAAGCCTGCAGCAGATCATGCTATACATCACACAGGTGTTCATCCATCATCAGCTGTTTTACTGCTTGTCCCTCCTTTCCCCCTGCCCCACCCCCATGTCTATCTGCACTTGTGGAGGTAGTACAGATGTTCACCTTAGAAATTCACACCTCTGACCAGGCCGCTGGGAACAAATTGAGACAGTACATGGATTTTTGCTCTGCAGCTTCTCAATGTCACGCTGTTGCCTGATGCTGTCCCACAGCATGCTGTCTGCCTTGCACAACAACTGCCTGTCAGGCAGATAGGATGTGTATGTTGTGAATGAAGACAACCTTTCATGGGCTGGGGTGACGACCAACTGGCCAGTGGTGCAGTGGCGGACACAGTGATGGACTGTTAAGATGGAATACCAAGAGATTAGCTGTCAGGCTGACAGACCAAACAATAGGCCATAAATGCTAGATAACTAACTGAGGTAGCTGGGCAGAGGACAAATCACTTTTTGGATTCAGTTCCATATCCAATCAACCAATGCATGATCTGTTAGCCTAGTTGATCAGCTGTCACCAGCACCTTGGACATCACAGTGTACAGCCCTGCAGCATAGGAGGACACCAAAGGTCCTCATTTTATAACATACATGCAGTGATAAAGACAAAAAGAGGTTAGTGGTAGAAAGCTCAGACAGCTATGCCATGATATTTGCCACGTGCACTATCTGTAGGCTTCTGTGATGAAATGCTGCTATCACTGTTATCACTATCACAAGCTGCTATCACTCACACCTTGGTAAAAAGCATTGTTTACCTGACCATTCTTGAATTCAAGCACAACCTCTGTCCAGACAAGATGGTAAATTACTCAGTCTGTTCAGTGTAGTTGCAAGGTACAAAACACATACAAAAAAGCAATATTATTGGCTTCATCTTTAAAAAAGAAGAGAGAGAGAAAGGAGAGAAGGATTTATAAATTGGCTATAGCCCATTGTGAAAACATAAGTGATAAATTCCAAGCTACAGTTTTGACTATAAATTAGTCAAAATGAGGTTTTTAAATCAGTGCCACAACACAGATAACTAAGTTACCAGGGATTCTGCAGGGAAAAAGTGCCAGTCATTATAATAATTCACTGCATATCTAAACAAGGCTAGAAATGCTAGAAAGTGTTCAAACATGCAAACAATTTCAAGCATACCCTTGTCCTTCACTTTTTGAATTAAGTGTGTCTTTAGATCATTTTAACTATAAGAAGTTTTGGAACAAGAGCTATATGCATCAAAATCTAAAACATGTTAAGGCTCAGAACAGCATATAATGTATCTATTACATTTCAGACGCGTAAGGAAAACAGGCGGTATGAAACTAGACCTATCAACATGCTGGGAATAGTTACCATCACATCCCACCCATGCGCACACACCTTAGATAAAATGGACGTCTTGAATCTCGTACACCGGGGTGAGGAGAATATATTATCCCTAACGAGCAATTTGTTCACATAAACATATCGCATCACCACACACAACACGTCACGTCACACTGCTTCAAGCCGCGATACAATATTTTGTTTGGATTTTGAGGTACGTCTAGTCTGCGTTATTTCTGCCTACACACAGGTGGCTGCATCAGCTGATACAAAGTAGTGCTAATATGCAGCAAATTTATAAATCCTACGACTTGTCTAACGCAAGTTCGTGACCACGTGCATAGGTGTAATAATAAAATTGCACAAAAAAGTATCCCCAGAAATCCCCAAAGAAGCAATTTTTCTTCTCAAGGTTACCCCTAGTTTGCATTTGTTTTATGCTTTTTGCATTCTGAAGACTGTGTTAGCACTGCGGATCCAACGAAAATTGCCCTTATCACGTCAGGCGGTCCCTTGAAAGCATCGTTCGGACCACGTAAAATTCATGACATTTACCCAATATTATGGACAACCCTCACGTAACGATACGCAAATATCGTTCAACTTTTTGAAAAGGCTCGCACACATTACAGGCACGTTGGAACATGGAGTCATTCCACAACAAATCGACCTCGGATGCGTTGTTTTTCAGAGTGCAGCCCTTTCGAATTTGCCAAAGCACGTCTATGAAGAAAGTTTTGACTGAAACACGATTCTGTAGGTTTTAGAGCTGTAGTGAAAGCATGAAAAAAACATTTTACTACCTAAGGCCTTATTTATCTCAATAGAGCCTCACTTGACGGAGGGCCTCTGAAAGCAAACGAGAACGATGAATGCCAGCAGCCATATCACAAAATCATTGCACTCTCCCCCGCCCATCAGTTTACATCACATGACAACAGAAAGACCGGAACACTCCTACTTGCGCTTTGACCCTGCGCCGCGATTAGAGGTGGAAGGCTCCGGCAACTGAGTGCATTACGCAGCCACTCGAGCGTTACCCACACTATACACGTTCTTAGCCGCGCAATGACCATTTGCAGACCATTTTTATGACGTAGTCCCGGAAACGCTCAGGCGCGCTCGTTCTACGAGAGGAGCGTCGCAATTGACTCGCCGAAACAGACTCGGACGGAGACGCCTTGTTCTTTAAAACAGCTGTGTCTGTGTCTGAAGGCCCTGGCACCGGCGAACATGGGGGTTGTGGTGAAGGCATCCCTATAATATGATCGGGCATAGAGGGGGCACCAGCAGGAGGAGCATTCAGCGCAGATGGCACCTCTGAGAGTGAGGCTGAGAGTCTCCAGGAACAGTTGAATGATGCGCGGCCGAGCAGGCGACCCCGTGAGGGGCTGGATGGCTGAGCGAGACGGTGGCTGCAAGACCGTCAGCTAGACGAACATGAGCGTACTCAGGATTTGCCTCCAACAACTCGACCTCATGAACGGGAGGTTTGTACTTACTACTGCGCACATGTCTCCTCATGAGAACTCTGCCCGGGGTAGCTAGCCACGTCGCCACGGAATGACCACCGGTCGAGCGACGCTGACACTGAAAAAGGCGTTCATGCGACGTGACATTGGTGGCCGCACACAAAACGCCACGGATGGAATGGGGGCACCTGGAACGACCTCTCCCCGCAGCGAAGTTTTTAGGCCGCGCGACCGCAACGCCAGACATACAGCCCTGCAGATAGTACCGTTGTACCGCTCTACTTGGCTGTTCCCTCGAGAATTAAAAGCTGCCGTGCGGCTGCACGCTATTCCGCGACTGTGGAGAGAAACTGACTCAGCTCCGCCGGCCTGAAGGCCGAGCCACGGTCGGGATGCACGTAGGCAGGCATGCCGAATATGGTGAAGAGGCGGCACGAGTAGTCAATAACAGAGGCAGACGTCAGAACGGCGCACGGAAAAGCGAAAGGAGGCCTTGAAACTCGTATACAATAACGAACGTGTATCGATTTCGAGACGACGTGGGCAGCGGTCCGTGGAAATTGTTGTTCAGTCTTTCGAAAGGCTGGGCGGCCTTGATAAGCGTCCCTTGGTGAGGTACATGGAGCTGAGTTTTCATCTCTGTACGCACAGGATGCAAAACAGACATGTTATTTACGTCGCTTAGGGAGAATGGCAAGTTTCTGCACCGCACGAAGTGTGACATCCGGATGATGCCGAGGTGCCAGAGCGATGCGTATAGGTCTCTGAGGGTGGTCCCATTGACAGCGGCACAGGAGCTTCGAGAGAACTGTGCCTTCTAGCGAGAGAAGGCATCTGCTGCAGCATTCTCTGAGATGTCGTACAAAAAACAGGGAGCTCAATACGCCAACGCGTGATCTTCTCGTTTGTTTTATCTCTCCAGGTTGTTTCGCGTGTACTACGGTGTACTCATGGGTGTAGGAACAGGGTATCGGGGGGGGGGGGGGGGCATGGCCCTCTCCCCACTTTTCAAGGTGGGAGGCCAACAGTGCTAACTGCCCCCCCCCCCCCCGCTTTTCAGATTAAAGTTGCTGCTTTTGCACCACATTAAACATGCGTGCCGATTCACATAGTTCACCAGCCATCTTCCTCAAGATGCGTCATCTTTTTCGTTTGCTTATTGGCAGTCGGTTAACGTCACAGCCGCAGGACTGATACCGCGCGGCCAGTGGAGACTGCCACGCCGGGCGTCGAGACTGTTGTTGCTACTACTTGCGAGCGCGCGTTTTCGAAACCATGTCACGTAGTTGCTTTGCCGTTAATCAGTTCCGACTGAGTCTTGAACATTTTAAGACGAACATGAATTAGTCATGTTAATAAAATTTGGGACTCCATTTCATCTACAATCTACGTTCAGGGAGTTTTCAATACCTCTGAAGAACACAGAAAACACGAAACTGGAGTCCATATGATAATTATTGGACCACCTGCGGCGACTAGGGATCTTGTTGCATCGATGAAGGTTCCTGTGCTGATCCGGAACAAACTGCACGGGTCAGAAGGCCTACCGTGTCTGGGAGGGGAACAATGTGATATGATATATAATTCTAATGAAGTCCGGATCGACCAGGAGAACCCATCCTGTGTCGCCAGAATAACAGCCAGAAGACACTTCGCGATGGGACGGAATGGCCCTTCAGCCTTTGACCAGAACCGGTAATGTGCCCCTAGTGTTCCGCTCAAGGGGTCCCTTGCCCGGAAGGAAATAAGGGGTCACATTATTGTTGAGTAGGGTGGGTCGAAATGAAATAAAACAACGAACAAGGTCATCCCATGTCTGCCTGAGAACGCTCATTTTTCAGAACAGATTACTTGAAAATTGCATCAAAAGGTTTGAGCATGCCCGCCCGCAACCTCGGGAGGAGGGACAACGATGGCCTGGGTTGAAGCTTCCGTAAAACCGAACGGCGCCGGCCACTGCAAGTGCCACCAGACTTGTAGTGTTACAGGAAGGCGGAGTAACACGGCGGGCGCCGTGTTACCGTCTTCTGGGCGGATTAACTGTTACGGCAAGACGAAAAATTTATATTCTTCTTTTACTATTCCGGTTCCACCACCAGATTCCAGCACCACTTCGCGGTGCTGTAAGGGCCAATCCGTTATTATCATCAGTCTTAGAAAAGCACACGTGAAATATGCTCCCAGACTGCCTTTTAGATGTGCGATTTGATGTCCTGAAGCGTTCAAAGGTACCTCTTTCCGAGGCGCTATCATTTTCGTCCATCTGTTGGCCAGAGCTCAGTATTAACTGCTGGTCCAATCCCGCGTGGCCTACGGAGACTGCAACGCCTGGCGTCGAGGTTTTTGTTACTAACGTTTACTAGCGCGCATGCTCAAAATTACGTCACATAATTTGTGTCACTAAACTAACCGATTTAAATGTTAAAAGGTAGTTATTTCAAAAGCGTCATCATTTTCGTCCACCGGTGGGCCACAGAAAAAAAAAATAGTCACTGGGCTGACGCGCCGCGGACTATGGAGACTGCAACGCCTAGTGTCGAGGTTTTTGTTGCTGAGATTTGCCAGCACGCATGTTAAAAACCACGTTAGATAGCTTGCATTTCTAATCGAATCTGACTGAATATTAGATATTTCCAGACAAAACACGGCTTGGCCATGTTAATGTACATTGTTGACAACTCGGTCTACAATCAAATTTTCATTTTCAAATTTCGATCAAACACGTCCATCTTCAATCTACCTTCGCGGTATATTTTATGTCTGAAGAATCGTGGAATTTCGGCTCCCCAGGAAAAACAATTTGAAATGGACAAAAAATCTTATAAAGCTGGACAGCCTTATTTGCCGAATAGCATAGATGAGTCGAATAGGCAAGATTATGCACTACTGAGAAATAGCTCTAGATGCATATCTAGCGTAGCAGCCATGACATTTGAATAAAGAGCGATAACAGCCTCTATCTCTACCCCCTCCCCCTCCCCCGGTCATCAGGCTTGCTTTCCAGAAAAAGTTCTTGAAGTATGCCCCTCCAATTTTTGAACACTATGCCTGTGAAACAAGGTCAAACAAAGGTCAACAAGGCCTCTGAGTGTACAGATAAGAAACTAGGAGCACATGAATGTGCCCTATGACGTCACGAATCCTATTTTCAGCTCACTCTCGCAAAAACGGTTCGCGTTGTGCAAAGTTTGGGAAAGTGACTCGGAGCGCTAAATGTCTATATTTTTCTGAAACGTGAGTGTAAACATAACATCCAAGGTCAATTGGGCGCATCTAGTGACCTAGTTTGTTCTTAAGTGTCATGTTATGGAAACATAGTACCTGCGATTTCTTTAGATATGCAATTGAACTCCAACCTATTCCTGTCCAGACTAAGTAAGAAATCGATGGAACACGTAATGAGCCGGCCGGTCAGTATGGAGCAACCGGGAGCGGTCGGCTCACTCCATCGGGAACCGTGGCTATGACCTCGAAACCGACCGGATCTCCGAAACAACGCATGAATGAAGGCTGTATTTTGATCGACCTCATGTCCCTGTTATCCATCGCGAGTTACAGAGATAGGGAGCCAGGCTATATTTCAGCGTTATGATGAGCAGCCAAATACTATCAGCTCAAATATCGTCGCTTATAAGATGCTATGTTACTGATCATTTTTTATGTCGGTTGGTGCAAATGCAAAGAAGGTAACTCAAGCAGATTCGAG